CAATTTCCATACAATAACATCACATAAAAGAGGGGATAAACTATGTATTGAACAAGTTCAAATGAAATCGCGGCAAGGCCTTCAAGCAATGTGCTTGTCATAAGTAATACCTGTCAGTCGTGATATGATATTTTTATGTTTGATAATGAAGAAAAATGATAAAAATAAAGTCAGAGTAATTTGGCAGCGTAACAATACTATTTTGAAATAAATGTAAAATAGACAATTTAGTTTGAATTTCAATAGATGAAATTAGAGCATACCCATTTCCTTATTGTTACCTGAGAGTGCAGGAAAAAATCGTCTGTGCTGTGGGGATAGTATATACTCGCCTATAAGTCGGTTGTATTTTTTAAGCTTATATTAGGGGGACTCACCCTCTAAAATACCAATCGTTTTATAACTCGCCTATAAGTCGGACAAAGAGTTTTAGACCAAAGTTTAACTCCCAAAAAACCGACTTATAGGCGAGTATATACGGTAAATTTTCAGTTTTCTTGAATTCCTGATCCTTTCCCTGCAGACGGGCATATTTGTTTTTTCAAAGTACTTATACAAGGATGGCAAAAGCTGCACCCACACGGTACGTAGGAACAAGCAATTAGAATTTCTGTTTTGAATTTCTTTTTGTAGTTTCTATTTCTTTTAATGATGGAAGACAGGTAGTTAGTCTTCTTATGTTTGACATGATTGTGATATCATTTACAATTCAATGTAAACCCAACATTATAAAACCTTCAGAACTGAAGTTGTTCCAATATCTGACACGTATTGTAAAAAGCAACGTAGTAATTAAAAAAAAAACGGTGGACAAGCAAAACTAATCAACTTAAAGAAAAAAAAAAACTATTAGGAAAAATGTTGGTTGGTGAGATAAGTTTACAGCAAACATTATTGCTTTCTCTTTTTAACCTGAATTTTATTCTTCAGAAGGAGATAATTTCTTTATCCCTCTCTCTCTCTCTCTCTCTCTCTCTCTCTCTCTCTCAACAATTCAATTCAAGTATAACATGAAAACCGGAGGGGATGGCAATTTAACTATATACCAAATTGATTCTATTTGGTTTTAAGCTTTTGATTTAAGATATAAGGATATATATTGTGTAAAATTTTGAGATTTATTTGGGGGGGGGGGGCAGGGGGGGGTGTGTAAAAAACAGAATTATTAGAAAATTTTCAAAATTTGTATCACGATAAAACGTAAGGTTTCATACTTTTTATAAATGATACTTTGTTCCTCTTTGTTTCCTTTAAAATGCTTGCCTCAACATTCAAGCGGTGCTCTTAATCAATGAACACGACGATTTAAAATTTGCGACGAGTGACGTAACACAGAACTCCCTGTTATTTAAATCGGACTTAAACACACACAGATACATAAATGAGGATTTGAAGGTAGACAGTTTACAAATTAGATTTGAAAAAGTAATATACCCTATTCTGTGTTTTGTTAATTAGATATCTAAACTAACTCATGTGAAATTAGGGAAGTTTACTTCAAATCAAAATTTTAAAAAAGTTAAAGAAACGTCAGAATTGATTTCCGCAGAAAAAAAATTATAACAGGGAGCATATACAGCAAAACAGAAAAAAAAGAAAACGGCGCACAGTAGGAAGAAAAAGAATAATGAGTCAAATCCTCGTTATGCAGAGGGGACTTCTCAGTAATTAATAAATAGTTGATTATTTAATATTACATGTACACAACATTATCAGGAAGTCCTAAACTAAGAAGGAAACATTTCAACTCAGAGAGAAATAAGTAAAATATATTAATTCGTGTTTAGAACAGGGTTTTTAAAAAATCCTTAAATATGTGCTGTGTATGTGCAGTTTTTACATTTGAGTAGTAATAAACGCTTTTGAGTTGTAATGTTATTTCGTTTCGTCTCCAAAACATTTCAGAACTATAACACTCCAACAACAATTCACCGCTAAGAAATAAGTGAATAATGGTTTTCAATCAAAAGCCGATAAGTTCTGGAAAAATCGCGATGAAAAACACATCTGTACTAGTGAATGACAATTTATCTTCAAATAGACATATCTAAAGTAAGACTACTCTGTGATTTGATACTACATAAAAATATCCTGCATTTTCTGCAATTTTAACTTTTTCATTTAATATTGAATATTGAAATGTGTAATTCTGTATGATCTATCTATCTATCTATCTATCTATCTATCTATCTATCTATCTATCTATCTATCTATCTATATATATATATATATATATATATATATATATATATATATATATATATATATATATATATATATATATATATATATATATATATATATATATATATATATATATATATATACACACTAGACAAAATTGCTAACGCACCACCTAAATAAATTAACATTTTTCTTTTCAAAACTTGTTTATGATGTTTTTGATATATAATTATGTTACTTTAATAAAAAATGAGACAATTAAATGCTTTAACTGATAAATAACAACAATGTTTACTGAAGCGTAACCACTTCATTGAAAAAATTAAAAACATATCCATACTTTTTTGGTGGAATAAATTTCTAATATTTTCTTTGTAGTTATGTTCTTTATGTTTGTACTAATTAAAAACTCTGAAAAAAAGTTACACCGTATTCGGCGTTTGACTGTAGAAGGGCGTGCTAAGGCAGCCAGTATGGTGTCTGCAGGGGGTTCCTTTGAAGAAATTTGTGAAAAATTAAAAGAATTAAATGATTATGAATTTCTCTGGTGAAAAGTTGTTGAAAATGAATTATCGATCACAAAAATGTTTAGAAAAGATATCGACGGCATTAAGTGAGCACCACACAATAACTTCAAGATTGTTCCACAAAATTTGGGCAACCGGAAGTTGGGTGGATTTGGTAGGGACACCAAGGCACTGGATGACTACTAAGCGATATGGTAGTCAATCAGGATATATCATTTGATTTTTAAGTGAGAGACTGCTCCCGTAGCAACGTCACGGACCACCATCGGTAATAACCAACTTCATATCTTGAAAAAACGGTGCGCAGTGCACGTCGGGAAATTGATTTTCGGACAAGAAGGTCCTTTAAGGGTCTTGGCATGACACCAAGACATTTGTCAATGCAACTGTTTTGGAAAAGATGGCATATTTTATATACTAGTACCAATCAGGAAAATGATCAATTCACAAATAAGAATAATAAGTGGTGCGTTAGCAATTTTGTCTAGTATATATATATATATATATATATATATATATATATATATATATATATATATATATATATATATATATATATATATATATATATATATATATATATATATATTGCGTTAGGATGAACAAAAACCGCACAATTTCGCAATTATCCAAAACACTGGAATAAGTAATGATTTTGTTGTGACGTAATTTGATTTTTTTTTCTTTATCTTCTTTATCTTCAGAAATTCTAACAATTCCAAATTATGCAATGGCTTCAAACAAGATAAAAAGCGTATTCTTAGTTTGCCTTGTATTAAAATTCACCAAAGCAGAAAAGAAAGAAAAAAATGAAAAAATATAAACACATTTATAGTTAAGTGTGTTATCCCCATTTTATTGAAAGTGTTACGTATACACTTAAAATATATATATAAATATATATATATATATTTAGAAATTTGGAAATAACAAATATATTAATAGACCTTATCTCTTGATCTATAAATAAACTCTGAATAAACTCAAGCATTTTCAAAAAATGATCAGCAGGAATGTTGCAATGAAAATAAACTACATGCGGGAAAATAAATATAGCTCACGTTACATGTAAATCTTTGGTGCATGTGAAGGTTGAACTTCACTTTGAAAAATGAAAATCATATATGGATTAATTTGATCTCACTTTTTACCCCTAGATTTTGATTCCATAACAAATAAACACTTAAAATTTATTTCTATGAATGTGATTTTCTTTTGAAGGGTGTACATGTTACGGATTTATACCAATTTCATCAGTTTTAAACTAAAGTATTGCCATCTACAACAAATTTAAAACAACCATTTTAAAAAAAAAATAAAGACACCCAGAGATATATTTTATTGTTTGGTTCCCTAAATTAGTAAGGTTTACGTATGATGATTTCCAAGTTAAATTACCGATTGAATTGTACAATCACAAACACGGAAATTATGTTTTATCATTATAACATTTAAACATCCATTACCGACCTTTCACATCCCCGCGAGCTCTCTGTATTAATCAGGTCAATGGAGTAATCTACTCTAGACAATATAAGTATTAAAAAACGACTTAAAAATTAGTACGAAACATGTCAGTCAGATTAATTCCTATCGGTGGATAGCATTTGCATATATGGAAAAAAAAACAACTATGGAGTTTATGAAATGCAGAATATAAATGAGATTTTTGAAGACCCTGTAAAATCAATTCAAACGTCAGTAGCCCGTCTAGGTGTAAAAATTGACCATACTCAGTACATGATCTACTGTGAGAAGAGACATAAACATCATATTAGGGCGACAGCGGAATTTTACCTCATACATGTAGGTATGGGACTGTGACGATTGAAATATGAAGTCCTTCCGTTTGTAATGTAGTTTATGAGTTACAGTTTGTGGTACCTATGATTACGTATAAATTTACTCTATCTTATGAAAGTATCGATGTAATTTATTTAACAATTTAAGCTTAGGGAACTACAAGAACTCTTGACTTGTGCACCATTTAACAAGATTCTTAGATATTAAAAGTTCCTTTCTCCATCTTTTCTAACGGCATCTGCTCTCAGCATCCAGAATTAACTCCCCATCACAAAAGTTCAATTTCAAGAGTTATTTTACTTTAATTTAATAAAGTGGTAAATTGTACATGTATCTTTCTTAAAGATATAAAAAATGAATTCGATTCAAAATCTTTATTGTGTATGTATATAAAAGAAAAGGAACATCCAAACTAGAACAAATGTTTTTATTTACAAAATATAAAAATAACTGTAACATGAAGTAAATTATATTTTATTATGCTTCTCTCATAGAAAAGGATCAAGAAGTCAGAGCTATCTATCTTTGTAACAATCTTTTCCTTCTACATTCTCTCAAAGTAAAACAAAACGCAAGAAACATGATTTGAAAAATAATGACTGAGTATAAACTTATTGAAAAATCATCCACCACACCAGAAATTGCATTAGATGATACTGAGAGAGAAATGCAAGTGGCGTAAAACAAAAGAAAGTAAAGTAAATATACAACTTTTCTGGACATAATGTGGCAAAATGCCCAGGAATGACAGAAAAATATGTTTGCAAAAATACCAACTAAAAGACTAGACATCAAACTAGGGTTATTTGCGCAGTTATCATAGTAAATATGCTTTTGTTTAAGTTGTCGAAAGCAATACCAAGTTAAGAAAAGAAAAATGCCAAAATGGCCTAAAAATACATAAAAAGCTGGCTCCCATCCAACAACTGATGCAAATGTTCCAAACATAACAATTCGAATAAAAATTTCGATACCTTTTTCAGAAAATAACGCGAGTAAATAAGCAATTTCACGCAAAAAAGATACACATTTATTTCTGTACGATTTTCCAACCGTTCTTTTTGAATGCTCAAGCCTTTGGTCTTCGTCTTTATTGAAGTACTTTGTAGCAAAAAATACACTTAGTAGGGAAGATACGAAGTTAAGGACTAAAGAAATATCCTTTGTGTTGTGAAGATCTACAAAGGGAATGTATGTAAAATCAATATTGTTATAAATACTTTGAATCATCAGCTAGTTAAAAAAAAAAACAACTAATTATAGTGATGCATTTTGTAATTATGTGACTGTAAATGGCCTTATACTTTTGCCGCCCAAAATTTCTGCTATAAAAATCTTATGACTATAAGAACAAAAAAATATTTGTAGGGCTGATCTTTCATTTATATTAAATGTAAAAGGTTTTTCATTTGATGTAGATAATTTTAATGGTACAGTTTTGTTATCTTAATGATCTTACCTATATTTAAATCTTCATTTTCATACTTGATATACCACAGTAGAATGTTCTGAGGAATTCCCTCTATAGCAGCTTCGATCAACCAAAGAAACGTCAAAGCTTGTAAATACCACCTCACTTTCCAACGTTTCCAACCCATTAGCATTGTCCAACATAAACTGAAAATATAAAAAAAAAGAATCATAAATCAGAAAGTGAGAGTGGAAAAAAGTTACGCAAATAAAAGTCACTAAATCTCAGTTAACTTATCAAATATAATTGCTTAATTTGACAATAGAAACAAAACGAAAATAAAGTATCGGTAAAAGCATGTGGCTTCGATAAAAACGTAATGTTGCCTTTTTTTGCGAAACTTTTATTTTTATATTTTGAATTGGTTCGTATGAAAACAAAGGTTTCTATTTTTGTTGTAAAAAATTTTAAGCCACTTAATTTGAATAAAGAAATAAGTAAGAATTTAATTTCACAGAGAAATATTGATCACTTCTTTTATCCATATCTAATGTATATCCTTAAGGGGGGTTAATAAAGATAGAATTTAGTTTAATATGAAGTACTTACATGCAGCTTTTCAAAAATGGAGAACACGCAAGTAACACAAGAGCTAATCGACGTCGCTTATTTGATGGGTCCACGTGGTACCGAAGAGAATACAGCATTAATAAATATGACAGAAATGTTGAAATAATGTTTAAGGCCAGATAAATGATTGCAATTATTCTTTCCTTTTGCTTGAATAAATAGTAAATCATATATGTGTCCTGGAAGAAATCAAACATAAAGATCATCATGAAAATTGTCGTTGCGATTACAATAGCACATTTCACAATGCATTTCCCTATTGACTGGCATACAGATGTTCCCAATTCCTTTCGACCATGAAAATATTCATTTTGTTCATCAGTTCTAGTTATGACATGGATGTTGGTTTCTGGTGTAGCTTGTAAACTGCCAATGTCAAATTCTAGAAGAGGTTTCAGCTTTTCCTTGAGGGCGAAACAGAATAGAAGAAAAAGAAAAAGGAAGGAAGTAAATAATCCCAGGGAAATTTGGAAACATGTGGTCTGTTCGAGTGAAAAATCGAGGCCCTCAAGGTAGACTGAAAAAATTGTGAAATAGATAATCTTAAAGGTTGTATATTTTCCATCACTTCAAATTTCACCAACAAATCAGTTGCAACAGTATGATGAAATAAATTACTTCACGAATGTACTCACCTGAGTTGTTAATTTCAGCCATTTTAACGAGATAAAGTTGAATTTCTGGCAAATAATTTCTAAAACAAAACACCGTTTAATCGTGGGTAATAAATGCAAAGACTAGTTTGCTTTGTCCTTAACTCCTTGTTGCGAAAGTAGGACTAGACATGGATAGACTTACACATAGACTGTAGGCCAGTATTTAAATTAACTTTCAGTGTTGATTATAATCATTATATAATATTGAAATGAAAATCCTAAACTAATAATAACTTTTTATCTCCTTCTATTTATATCATTTGAAATACCCGAATATTTAAAGAAAACGATATATTTTTTAGTCAGTTGATTTCGATGAAAATAAACCGATTGTTAAAATGTTACCTATCTCAACGCTTGAGGTTCGGTTGCAATAAGGAAACATTATAATATTTTAATGTCTAAATAGGGAACTTATGGTTCAACTTAAAATTTCTATCCTACTGATAGAAACTGATGCTTCTTTAACAATTTAGGTTTCTTGTCTTTTGTTTTTATCAAGGAATCTAAAATGCAGACCTTTAAAGGGGAAACTGATTACTTTTTCTATAAATAGATCAGAATAAACTGCATTACATAATATATGCATAAAATAGTATTAAAATTAGAGCTGATATAAGGAGTAAATCTACAAAGATAATTATAGCGCAGATTTGGTTTCATCCGCATGAATAGATATACATGTATTTAATAGGGAAAAAATCCCATCATATTTTTTTTTTTTTTAATTTTCAGAATACATGTATTTTTATTACGCTTCATTCTTTCTAAACTGCTTGAATTACACGTTTTGATTTTGAAATTGCATCAACCAGATCACATCTATTGTTTCATTTATATTTCTTGATAAGCATTTAATTGACTCAGATAGCTATTTCAATAGCGAGTTCAAAAGACTTAATCCGCACCTAAATAATAATCATGCAAGGATATGTTCATGGGTGTTGTTATTCATTTCAAGATTTCTATATTACAATTAAACTTAAACTTGCGAAAAAATTGCTTTTTGCACGCTAGAACTTAATTTTTATTTCTTTTCTTTGCGACATATTAACAACGGCTACTTTCTATCATAAGGGAACAAGTCATCACTAATTTCATTGTTCGACATCCCAAAAACAACCATAAATGATTGACCCTGTTAACAAATGCTCACCTACTAGAGCAACTAGTACAAAGAAAACATTACATAGGATGCAAAGACAAATGACAAACAAACAGTTTGGCACTTCTAGTGAGCCAAATCTACCTCCATACCAATACGATTTCCCCAGTAAATTCTGTAATTCTCATCTGGGATATTATCTTCCTCAGGAGATGTACTACAGTTTTCCTGAAATTAAAAGCAGGGAGAAAACAAGAGATAGCAGAGGATATTAGATAATGAAAGGATATTTAAATTTTTGTCTTGAGATATGTGTGGCAGGTTGACTTTTTTGGAAGAAATAGACGTAATTGCATTTATCGACGATTTGATGGTTGTGACTGGCTTTCATCCCCGAAACCCAGAGCTTGGATGATATTAATACCGGGGCCGGACACAAAAGTTACAAAAGTATACATTTCTTTAAGTTGGAAAATGGATTTAACCTTGAATATATATATATATATATATATATATATATATATATATATATATATATATATATATATATATATATATATATATATATATATATATATATATATGTTGTATCTCTATGAAATAAAACATGCGGAGAGCGAATATCTTCATATCTGTATTTTTACAGGTCATAGGTCATTTCATTAGCTAATCACACAGCACATTAATATCTAGCATTCTACTAATCTCATAAAGTAAAAGAAATACGAAAGTAAAACAAATAACTGTTTTATTAAATGAAATTTTGTCAAAGTAGTGTCTCTGTGTCAACGTCATGATGAATATGCCTCACTGAAAGATAGACATAGTATATAATTAGTTTAATTTTATTGGAATGTTTGATTCCTAATCCTGAATATGAAATTAAGTGGGCTGGTGTCTCCATACCTTTTCCGACCGAGATTCTTCCAGCTTTTTTTATCCAACATTCGAAGTGTTTCTTATACCTTTTCAACTATTCAAAACCGATTCTTACGGAAACAAAAAAATCCCAGACAACAATCTGCTCACAATTGTTGATCACAAGTAGCTTGTCACATATTAATCGTTTCAAAAAGAGAACCCCTTCCCTATCCGAATTCAAAGCGTAACCTCTTTCCACACCGATTTACTCCTTGCGTCGTTTTGTCAAAATCTAGGACGGGGAGTTATTTCAATATTTGTATATGATTGCCCGTCTCAAGTGTATAAATAAGTAATAAATAATAAGTTTAAAAACTTCAGTGGGAAATGAGGTGAGTTGGTACTTCTGAGAAGGCCATTGCCCTTCACAAGGTTTGATCAAGTGACCGACCCACTTCATTTACCAGTGAAGTTTTTAAACGTTATGTATTTCTAAAATGATTGAATCACATTCTCTTTCATTGCATATCAAGTAAAATGCAGTAAGGAATAATAAAAAAAAAAACCACCATAGAATTTAAGGATTGCTGCCTTTAAACGATGTTGTTGAAATCCCTGTAACATCAACTTCTCTAAAGTATTTACAGCAGCAATTCTTCATTTACATGGAAATGTGTTTTGCACAGAAAAAGTAGAGAGAAATACTTACATTCCTTATCCAAATGTGAGCATGGGGATTTCAATACATTGAATAATTCGAGTCTTAAGACAATGAAAAGTTTTAAATCTTCAATCATCTTTTTCATATTATAGACCGATTTGTGATCTTTTTGTAAAATGACCAGGACGACAATTACAGTACCGACCGGACACAACCTAACACAAGAGCGACCCCAAAGCGTACCCGGGTTCGCTTCCTGGGTTCGCTCGGGGTCCGCTGCGTGTCCGCTTTCAGAAAATTCGGGACCGCTCTGGGTGCGCTTCGGGTTCGCTCTGCGTTCGCTCGGGGTCAGCTCTGGGTCCGCTAGAGCGAACCCGGTGTTCGCTTTCCGGGTTCGCTTTACGCACTCATGCGTGAAGCGAACCCCGCTTTAATCTTGCCGCCAATAAGCCCCGCCCCTTGTATATTCCAAATACAGTAGTGAAATCGATCATTACTGTTTTTATGGCGATCGAAACATGTACATGTAAGTGACAATATGGAGAATGTTGATAAATTTTCAAGAATTTCACCGTACATTCGACGTAGAATTATCACTTTTATTTTTCTTAACTTAAAAGCGAAGTATATCTCGAAAGAAAAAGGAGAAAATGTGTTAAATTTATTCTCAATGTATCGGATGGAGTGAAATTGAGTATCTTACTTAAAAAAAGCTTTCAAATTCATTTGTTTACATTATTCATGCGTTTTTAAATAAGTTGGAACTTCCAATTGTAATTGCAATTACTAAATCGTAATTTAAATGTTTGAAAGACAAACAACTGAATTATGATCTTATCTATGAAATAACTGAGACATACTGTACACGTAAAGTGCTAAGTTTCCATATTTAGCAGTTTACATTTAAGCTAGGTTGTCGTCCATTACATGTATATGTAGGTCGTGATAATCACTAAAAATTTTCATACAGTGTAGCTTGAGTTTCGTTTTACAGATCATTTATAATTTACTTCCATGCTATAAATCATTGTTTTATAAGGCGAGTTTAACGGAAGACTTATAAAAAAAAAAAAACAACAATCAAAAAACCAAAGCAAACAAACAAAAATAACTGGTCCACTGATAAGAATATATAATTTTTTTAAAGTTGTTTTCAAATACATGTAAATGATCATTTGAATAGTTTGTGTTCCTTACTGGTTCATGACCCCCCACCCCCCCCCACCCGTCCCACTACATACATGTACATACTGGAGCGGCATGTTAACAAAGAAAATTCTAAATGTTTAAAAATAAATGAAAACAAGAAAAAAAAAAAAAAAAACAAACAAACAAACAAAACAAGAATTTAATAAATGTAAACTCGCATGATTAAGTAGATGAAATTAAGATAATAACGCCCGATGTGTGTGTGTGTGTGTGTGTGTGTGTGTCTGTGTGTGTGTGTTTGTTTTATTTCGATGAGTCCCCCACCCCTCTCCGTACTCGAATTGTTTTCTAAGGGCCGGTTGTAGCGATTTTAAATTCAAATAATATACAGTGTTCTCTCTCTCTCTCGTAAAGCTAGAGATATATATATTTATATCGACGTAAAGGAAAGTGAAAAGCATTTTTACGTTTTTTTTTGTTTTTTTTTTTTTTTTCAAAATTCAAAAACGTACAATGTAAGGTCTACATGTAGGATAATTAGAATAATGGCAAAATAATCTTTCCTTATATACATGTATTTAAATCAAGCTATTTATTAAATTTTGGTAAAAGATTAATTAAAAAAAATAGCAGTTAAAAAAAATGAGATTTTTTTCCCTCCAATTTACGTATTGACATAATGCACATTTATACTGTACAATGTTCATTTAATATTTTTAATATTTTTCATGATCAATTATTAAGATCGATAATTTCGATGTTGATCTGGATAAATTAAAGCGTGCATGTTAATTGAAATAATAAATACAAAATAATTAAATTAAAGCACGTACATGTTCTTATACTGTATCTTGAGATAATAAATTAAAATTCTATAATTTATCGAAGACCATTTTTTTTAATTCTTTTTTTTTTAGTAACAATTGTTATAACCATTATATTATCTTCTTTTTTCTATTATGAATTAAAGTACTTATTGTCTGATAAATTTACGCAATGTATATTTATATATTAATGGATTTTAAAAATATAAAGAAAATAAATATGTAACTATACATGTAACATGCTACCTGGATAATAAAAATATATAATGTATTAATAGATTTTAAAAATAAAATATAATGAAAATAGATGTGTAAATATTGCTTGTTGTCTGGAGAATTAAAATATATAAATATAAAATCATGTTTAAAAATCATATTAATAATATTTTTACACTGTACATTCACACGCTTTGCTTGTACAATGTTTAGATTACGAACTGGCATGTTAACTGGTCGATGCGCTGATGGTCAACGCATTTTATCACTTATCCTGATTGACAGACCTGTTCGGCATGTTGATTGGTCGACGCGCTGATGAATTAATCG